TGTCATCATATCCATGTTCTGTGTGAATGTGTGTCATCATATCCATGTCCTGTGTGAATGTGTGCCATCATACCCATGTCCTGTGTGAATGTGTGTCATCATATCCATGTCCTGTGTGAATGTGTGTCATCATATCCATGTCCTGTGTGAATGTGTGTCATCATATCCATGTCCTGTGTGAATGTGTGTCAACATATCCATGTCCTGTGTGAATGTGTGTCATCATATCCATGTCCTGTGTGAATGTGTGTCAACATATCCATGTCCTGTGTGAATGTGTGTCATCATATCCATGTCCTGTGTGAATGTGTGTCAACATATCCATGTCCTGTGTGAATGTGTGTCAACATATCCATGTCCTGTGTGAATGTGTGTCATCATATCCATGTTCTGTGTGAATGTGTGTCATCATATCCATGTCCTGTGTGAATGTGTGCCATCATACCCATGTCCTGTGTGAATGTGTGTCATCATGCTAATGTCATGTGTGAATGTGTGTCATCGCACCCATGTCCTGTGTGAATGTGTGTCATCATATCCATGTCCTGTGTGAATGTGTGTCATCAAACCCATGTCCTGTGTGAATGTGTGTCATCACACCCATGTCCTGTGTGAATGTGTGTCATCATATCCATGTCCTGTGTGAATGTGTGTCATCATATCCATGTTCTGTGTGAATGTGTGTCATCATGCTAATGTCCTGTGTGAATGTGTGTCATCGCACCCATGTCCTGTGTGAATGTGTGCCATCATACTAATGTCCTGTGTGAATATGTGCCGTCATATCCATGTTTTGTGAGAATGTGTGTCACCATACCCATGTCATATGTGAATGTGTGTCATCGTACCCATGTTCTGTGTGAATGTGTGCCATCATTCTAATGTTCTGTGAGAATGTGTGTCATCATATCCATGTCCTGTGTGAATGTGTGTCATCATACCCATGTTCTGTGTGAATGTGTGTCATCATATCCATGTTCTGTGTGAATGTGTGTCATCATACCCATGTTCTGTGTGAATGTGTGTCATCATACCCATGTTCTGTGTGAATATGTGCCATCATACCCATGTTCTTTGTGAATGTGTGTCATCATATCCATGTCCTGTGTGAATGTGTGTCATCATACCCATGTCCTGTGTGAATGTGTGTCATCATATCCATGTCCTGTGTGAATGTGTGCCATCATACCCATGTTCTGTGTGAATGTGTGTCATCATACCCATGTTCTGTGTGAATGTGTGTCATCATATCCATGTCCTGTGTGAATGTGTGTCATCATATCCATGTCCTGTGTGAATGTGTGTCATCATACCCATGTTCTGTGTGAATGTGTGTCATCATACCCATGCTCTGTGTGAATGTGTGTCATCATATCCATGTTCTGTGTGAATGTGTGTCATCATACCCATGTTCTGTTTGAATATGTGTCATCATACCCATGTTCTGTGTGAATGTGTGTGATCAGTCATCATATCCATGTCCTGTGTGAATGTGTGTCATCATACCCATGTTCTGTGTGAATGTGTGTCATCATACCCATGCTCTGTGTGAATGTGTGCCATCATACCCATGCTCTGTGTGAATGTGTGTCATCATATCCATGTCCTGTGTGAATGTGTGTAATCATACCCATGCTCTGTGTGAATGTGTGCCATCAAACCCATGTTCTGTGTGAATGTGTCATCATACCCATGTCCTGTGTGAATGTGTGCCATCATATCCATGTTCTGTGTGAATGTGTGCCATCATATCCATGTTCTGTGTGAATGTGTGTCATCATACCCATGTTCTGTGTGAATGTGTGCCATCATACCCATGCTCTTTGTGAATGTGTGTCATCATACCCATGTTCTGTGTGAATGTGTGTCATCATACCCATGCTCTGTGTGAATGTGTGTCATCGTATCCATGTCCTGTGTGAATGTGTGTCATCATATCCATGTTCTGTGTGAATGTGTGTCATCATACCCATGTTCTGTGTGAATGTGTGTCATCATATCCATGTCCTGTGTGAATGTGTGTCATCATACCCATGTTCTGTGTGAATGTGTGTCATCATATCCATGTTCTGTGTGAATGTGTGTCATCATACCCATGTTCTGTGTGAATGTGTCATCATACCCAGGTCCTGTGTGAATGTGTGTCATCATATCCATGTTCTGTGTGAATGTGTGTCATCATACCCATGTCCTGTGTGAATGTGTGTCATCATATCCATGTTCTGTGTGAATGTGTGTCATCATACCCATGTTCTGTGTGAATGTGTGTCATCATACCCATGTCCTGTGTGAATGTGTGTCATCATATCCATGTCCTGTGTGAATGTGTGTCATCATACCCATGTTTTGTGTGAATGTGTGTCATCATATCCATGTCCTGTGTGAATGTGTGTCATCATACCCATGTTCTGTGTGAATGTGTGTCATCATATCCATGTTCTGTGTGAATGTGTGTCATCATACCCATGTTCTGTGTGAATATGTGTCATCATACCCATGTTCTGTGTGAATATGTGCCATCATACCCATGTTCTGTGTGAATGTGTGTCATCATATCCATGTCCTGTGTGAATGTGTGTCATCATACCCATGTCCTGTGTGAATGTGTGTCATCATATCCATGTCCTGTGTGAATGTGTGCCATCATACCCATGTTCTGTGTGAATGTGTGTCATCATACCCATGTTCTGTGTGAATGTGTGTCATCATATCCATGTCCTGTGTGAATGTGTGTCATCATACCCATGTTCTGTGTGAATGTGTGTCATCATATCCATGTTCTGTGTGAATGTGTGTCATCATATCCATGTCCTGTGTGAATGTGTGTCATCATATCCATGTCCTGTGTGAATGTGTGTCATCATACCCATGTTCTGTGTGAATGTGTGTCATCATACCCATGTTCTGTGTGAATGTGTGTCATCATATCCATGTCCTGTGTGAATGTGTGTCATCATACCCATGCTCTGTGTGAATGTGTGTCATCATATCCATGTTCTGTGTGAATGTGTGTCATCATACCCTTGTTCTGTGTGAATGTGTCATCATACCCATGTCCTGTGTGAATGTGTGTCATCATATCCATGTTCTGTGTGAATGTGTGTCATCATACCCATGTCCTGTGTGAATGTGTGTCATCATACCCATGTTCTGTGTGAATGTGTGTCATCATGCTAATGTCCTGTGTGAATGTGTGTCATCGCACCCATGTCCTGTGTGAATGTGTGTCATCATATCCATGTTCTGTGTGAATGTGTGTCATCATACCCATGTTCTGTGTGAATGTGTGTCATCGCACCCATGTTCTGTGTGAATGTGTGTCATCATATCCATGTCCTGTGTGAATGTGTGTCATCATATCCATGTTCTGTGTGAATGTGTGCCATCATACCCATGTTCTGTGTGAATGTGTCATCATACCCATGTCCTGTGTGAATGTGTGTCATCATACCCATGTCCTGTGTGAATGTGTGTCATCATACCCATGTTCTGTGTGAATGTGTGTCATCATACCCATGCTCTGTGTGAATGTGTGCCATCATACCCATGTTCTGTGTGAATGTGTCATCATACCCATGTCCTGTGTGAATGTGTGCCATCATATCCATGTTCTGTGTGAATGTGTGCCATCATATCCATGTTCTGTGTGAATGTGTGTCATCATACCCATGCTCTGTGTGAATGTGTGCCATCATACCCATGCTCTGTGTGAATGTGTGTCATCATATCCATGTCCTGTGTGAATGTGTGTAATCATACCCATGCTCTGTGTTAATGTGTGCCATCATACCCATGTTCTGTGTGAATGTGTCATCATACCCATGTCCTGTGTGAATGTGTGCCATCATATCCATGTTCTGTGTGAATGTGTGTCATCATACCCATGTCCTATGTGAATGTGTGTCATCATATCCATGTCCTGTGTGAATGTGTGCCATCATGCCCATATTCTGTGTGAATGTGTGCCATCATACCCATGTCCTATGTGAATGTGTGTCATCAGTCATCATACCCATGTCCTATGTGAATGTGTGCCATCATACCCATGTCCTGTGTGAATGTGTGTAACCATACCCATGTCCTGTGTGAATGTGTGTAATCATACCCATGCTCTGTGTGAATGTGTGTCATCATACCCATGTTCTGTGTGAATGTGTGTAATCATACCCATGCCCTGTGTGAATGTGTGCCATCATTCTAATGTTCTGTGTGAATGTGTGCCGTCATATCCATGTTCTGTGTGAATGTGTCATCATATCCATGTTCTGTGTGAATGTGTGTCATCATACTCTTGTTCCGTGTGAATGTGTGCCATCATATCAATGTCTTGTGTGAATGTGTGCCATTATATCCATGTCCTGTGTGAATGTGTGCCATCATTCTAATGTTCTGTGTGAATGTGTGTCATCATACCCATGTCATGTGTGAATGTGTGTCCTTATACGCATGTCCTGTGTGAATGTGTGTCATCATACGTATGTCATATGTGAATGTGTGCCATCATATCCATGTCATATGTGAATGTGAGTCATTATACCCATGTCATGTGTGAATGTGTGTCATCATATCCATGTCATGTGTGAATGTGTGTCATCATATCCATGTCATGTGTGAATGTGTGTCATCATATCCATGTCCTGTGTGAATGTGTGTCATCATACCTTTGTCATATGTGAATGTGTGTCATTACACCCATGTCATATGTGAATGTGTGCCATCATATCCATGTCATATGTGAATGTGTGTCATCATACCCATGTCATGTGTGAATGTGTGTCCTTATACGCATGTCCTGTGTGAATGTATGTACATACCTATGTCATATGTAAATGTGTGTCATTACACCCATGTCCTGTGTGAATGTGTGTCCTCACACGCATGTCCTATATGAAAGTTTGTCACATCTATGTGAATATTTATTGGTTATCATGTGGTTTGAGAAAGCCACCAAGAAATAGAAGAACATTCAGAGTAGAATCGTTTTGCTACCACAATGTTGAAGATAATTTATTATTGGTTTGATCTGACAAATAAATAAGCTCCAAAATTCGTCGCGGCACAAACAGTCTAATAAATGAAACGAATGATTTCCCACCTAAAACGGTTTTACACGTGTTCTTGGCGACCCGCACGATTTAGGTTAACTCTTCAGTTCCTTGAGTCCTGGATCAGACACCAAGGCTTGATTCTCTCCCGTCCTGTCATCCTTGCAGAACTTCCAGATGAGGAAGGAGACACTTCCAGCCACCAGGGTCGGGATGAGGGCGAACACGATCACATACATCCACGCCCGTGCCCCACAGCTGCTCCACATGTCAATGCTCTGGTGCAAGGCTCTGCGCCCGCTATGAAACACAATGCTCTGTTCAGGGTTAAGGGAGATCTCCATGAGACAAGACCGTTGACCTGGGACAAAAGTACAAGCTGATGTCGATTTCGTCACATCGTACAAAGTCCGTCTGATGACGAAGTTTGCTGTCGATAATGTATACCATATTCCCATGTTAAAGTAAACGAAGAAATAGTTGTCTGCCTCCGTGGAGATCATTGTATAGGTGTCGTGTGGTAGCAAGTCGTGTTTGCTAACGTAACACCCACTGCAGTCTCCTTTGCCGTCCAGCCATGTCTGAAGGTTGCTGTCACCTTGGATGACGAAGAGGGTCGTGAATGGTGAATGGGAGGTGGTGCTGTTGACCTGTAGTGTAGACCCGGGGAGGAGATAGAACCCCCAGTATTCGTACTGTTTGCTCTCTATGCTCATGAAATAGCTTGTATTAAAATCCTCAGTTCTACGTGGATCGACCACGGGTTCCTCGTCAAAACTGTAGGCTTCGAAAGGATCGCTGGAGTTGAGAGTGAGGCTCTGACAAAACGCGTTGTTGACGCCGTGCTCTACTTTGCGCATGTCCGTTGGAGCGGCCTGGAACTTGTTGGTGCCGAAGACTCTGAGACTGATGAGAAGTCCAGCGGTGAGGACGGCAGTGGCGACATACAGCCATAGAAGGGCGATCCGGAGGTAGCGGGACATCTTCCTGATGCAGAGGAGGATACTGGCGATGTTGATGCCGAGGATGACGAAGAAGCAGCAACATTCCCCACACTCTCCTCCTCCCTCTCCTCCTCCTGAAGTGTGGTGTGTGGTGTGGTGGTGGTGCATGTGGAACCCCCCACCCCCGCCGCTGAACCCCCCACCCCCGCCGCCACTGGAGAAACCGCCGGCACCGTGGGTCATCCTGGAAATAGAAGTGTAAAACTTATCACATGTCACTCAATGAACGAGGGAGGAAAGCCCGCAGTTTGGGGTTGACAAACCAAGGATCATCATACGGTCGAATCCAGGAGTCACACCCGTTGTCAGTGCTGGGAACTTGCAGAAGTAATTCATGAGAGGCAGGTAATCTGCTAGTACCCGCTGCTCGTAGGTTGGCTTCTACTGTTTTACTTGTGTAGGATCAAAACCGCGCCCGAGGTTTTGTTTGGGAAGTATGCCCGCGGAGGAGGGAAAGTGGGGAGGGCCGATAGGCCCGACCCCCTTTCCCGAGGCCAAGGGCATACTTCCCAAACAAAACCGAGGGCAAGTTTTTGATCTCACTTATGAACTGATCAAATAATATGATTTAGAAATAATTTTACTAATTGGTATTAACATGACTTCATTGATATTTACTGTTGAGAGTTTAACTGCAATACGCGGGGAGTACATCCGCGCGCTGCACGTGACGCACGTGCTTCAGGCCCGTTGTAACAATGAGCGCACGTGGTTCAAGCCAGTCGAATGAATTCCACAGAAGAGGATGGACGCAGACAACGATATATTTCTGACGCAGTCAGTTCTTAAAGTGAGTGAGTGAGTGAGTATGGTTTTACGCCGCTTTTAGCAATATTCCAGCAATATCACGGCGGGGGACACCAGAAATGGGCTTCACACATTGTACCCATGTCGGGAATCGAACCCGGGTCTTCGGCGTGACGAGCCAACGCTTTAACCACTAGGCTACCCGACCGCCCCCAGTTCTTAAAGAATCGGCATCCTGTGCTGAAGAAGACAAGGAAAGTGATGACTTTAAATTCCGTTTAGGAGATCCACTCTCCGAGCGTGAAATAACCTTACAAGTTACCATCAAAAGACTGTGCAAGACGTCCGGTATTGAGGGCATGAAGATAAACCATTCCTTGAGAGCCACGGCAGCCACTCGATTGTATCAAGGTGACCATGATGAACAAATGATTTGCGAAATTACCGGTAGGTTGATAAACATTTTAGTCCTGCATTAATAAGAAATTGTTATTCGGCAAAAGTCATAACATATCAAGGAAATATTTTTTCCAAACCAGTAAGATGCTCTTTTTTATTTATGATATATATGGTAATATTGGTGTTTTTGGAATCTGTAATAGTTTTTAAGTGTATTTGTATGCTGTATGTGTAATACTTTCAGTAATCTGAACAATTTGTTTCAGGACATCGGAGCGACGCCGTTCGAAATTACAAGAGAACTTCTGACAACCAAAAGGCAACGGTCTCTGACATACATGTACTTAGTATTTTGAAAAAAATGAACTCGCCATCACGTGAAGAAGCTGATCCAAAAAGAGCAGATGACCAATGACCTGAAGACAAACTAAATCGAACTGTGACGCTCAATTTCAAATTTTCGGGACAAAAACCAGGCTTTCAGTAGAAAATCTCCCGGGATTTCTTGCAGAAAGCCCGGGGCTTACCCTAGGAATGCCCGGGGCTTACCCTGGGAATGCCCGGGGCTTACCCTGGGAATGCCCGGTAAACTACCAGTAGAGGTTTAGTCGGTAAAAGAAGACCCTGGCGAGACAATAGAGTGACGTCACTAGAGGTTTATAAAGTTGGGGTCAACTCTTGTCTAGTTAGTGTTAATGTCTTGTTAGTGTTTAATGTTGTTGGTCAGTGAAACGCGTTTGAATCAATGTACCCCCATACACAATAAACTTAGACATGAAGCATGGTATGCTATATTATCGCGGTAGTTAATTTATAATGGTTCGTACTGGCGAATACTTACTAACATATTAAATATGTCACACTTAAGTGCTTTTTCTTCTTTATTCAACTTTTATGACACATCAATTAGGATTGATCGAATTCGGTAAACAAAGTACCAGTCATTAGAAACTCAAGGACAACTTTATGTTATGTCAAGGGATATCGCCTGAAGAAATGGATCCTTTTTTAACCAATTTCGAATTGGGGTAGTGGTAATTCCAAAAACATTCCAGAAACAATCATGAAAGAGGTAACGTGTATACTTAGGAGAAGCCGTGATATATCGCAACGACTCCTGTATTCAATCAAGCGATGGAATATCGTGCTTAGATTTGACAAGTAAACAGTAAACAGGGAATGTGGTTTACGAGATTTTCCGATACCGCGATAACATAGTCACACTAGACCATACATCCTCAATCAAATATTTATGAATTTTTTAGTTTGTCGTCAAGCTGCAAATTTACACATAAAGAGGAATGTTTCATATAAGACTATGTATCATTTTAATGGTATTGGGATAGTGTCAATACGACGTTGAACTGTATGTCATCTATCAGGTTTATTGAGAGCAGGCAGTAGATGATGACCAACTGATAAACTGTGATATGGCCTACTACCTCCTGTTAGAAGCCAGTTACAGTGTATACAGAGGACATATCATAGCAGCAGCCAGTACAGACTATATCTTCCGATATAAATATTACATTTATAACATGGCGGTGGACAATGTCTCACTACTCACAGGGAGGGGGTGGGGAAGCCTAGTGGTTAAAGTGTTCACTCGTCACGACGAAGACCCGGTTCAATTCCCACATGGGTACAATGTATGAAGCCCATTTCTGGTGTCCCCCGCCGTGATATTGCTGGAATATTGCTAAAGTCGGCGCAATACAATACCCACTCACTAACAAACAGAGCCATGTCTTGCTACAAACAGAGCCATGTCTCACAACAAACAGCGCCATGTCTCACTACAAACAGAGCCCTGTCTCACAACAAACAGAGCCATGTCTCACTACAAACAGAGCCCTGTCTCACTACAAACAGAGCCATGTCTCACAACAAACAGAGCCCTGTCTCACTACAAACAGAGCCATGTCTCACAACAAACAGAGCCATGTCTCACTACAAACAGAGCCCTGTCTCACTACAAACAGAGCCATGTCTCACTACAAACAGAGCCCTGTCTAACTACAAACAGAGCCATGTCTCACTACAAACAGAGCCCTGTCTCACAACAAACAGAGCCATGTCTCACTACAAACAGAACCATGTCTCACTACAAACAGAGCCCTGTCTCACTACAAACAGAGCCATGTCTCACTACAAACAGAGCCATGTCTCACTACAAACAGAGCCATGTCTCACAACAAACAGAGCCATGTCTCACTACAAACAGAGCCATGTCTCACTACAAATAGAGCCCTGTCTCACTACAAACAGAGCCATGTCTCACTACAAACAGAGCCATATCTCACTACAAACAGAGCCATGTCTCACAACAAACAGAGCCCTGTCTCACTACAAACAGAGCCATGTCTCACTACAAACAGAGCCATGTCTCACAACAGAGACAATGGACCAAACAGCCTCCGCGGCTTCACTGAGGAAGTTCTTTGTCTTCCACAAGTATTGCTCATTCCTTTCACGATAGCGTGATGGGACAGACACACTGTTCAACCTTAAACTCAAACCCACTCCTTACGCCATATACATAGCGCCAATTTGTGGTTTGGTCTGGTTTTGGAAACACATCATCTGACAAATGACATGATCATAATCTGCATGTAGTAACGGACATATAACGTATGAATATCTCTCACCTTCAACTTGAGATTATTCTCAATCTGATTCAAACTAATACAATGTCCTATTCCACAAAAACGGTGTTCTCTTCCCTGTGTCGATAGTCTATAATTCTACACCTCTATATATATAGTTGCTATATAGAACGGGGTGATAGATTTCCTTGTGAGTTGATGGTGTGGGATTTCACGCCTCTCTCTCTATATATAGGTGGTATGTAGTACGCGATGATTGACCTCCTTGTGATGGTTAGTGGTGCACGCGTCACACTTTGTACTTGACAGACATGTGATATCTTAACATAGACTGTAGTGAGTCTTTGTTGTATAAACGTATTCATATCAGTTTCATATTCTGCATCACTGTCGGTATAAGATAGATCTTGTATTTCCCATTAACAGTCAGACCCAAACTTGTATATACAAGTAATCGTATACATAATTTTAAATTACGCATATATTATAATCTAGGATTTTTTTATTGTTCATCTCATTATCACAAGCAATGGAAATAATGTTGCGACACACTGTATGTGACATTCCAAACAGACATGACTCATTTTACACTAGACCCGCTCTCAACTTTCGTGTCACAATTAGTTTTGTTTGTTTGTTTGTTGTTTAGCGCGGCACTCCCGCTACATGACGGCGGTCTGTAACTAATCTGGACCAGACAATGCAGTGATTGCCATCATGAGCATCGATCCACGAAGTTGGGATAAAAGGACATGTATCATCCAAGTCAGCGAGCCTGACCACCCGATCCCGTTAGTCGCCTCTAATGACAAGCAATACTCGCCTTTTACGGCAAGTCTGTACACAATTAGTGCTTGCGTTGGTTTATGGATGTATACGTGATGGCCGTTATTATGATTCTGTGCGAGTGTTTTATTATCACAGGGGCGGTTATGTAGCCCAGTGGTTACAGTGTAAGGTCGCCATGCTTAGATCAGGTTCGATTCCCCATACTGGTACAAAGTGTGAAGTCCATTCCTAGAGTACCAGTCAACATATGGCGGGAATATTGCTCAAACAGCCTGCCAACCCTACTCACGCTTAGTGATCACCATTGTTATTATCTTAAAACTGCCACACTTATCATCATAATAATATTCACAATATGCGACAGATATATTTTCATGATAATAAACCCAGTCTCTATCATTATCACTCCTTAAATTGGCTAATACCCCAACATTGCCCAGTCACTTTTTAAAGCACGCAATGTGTAGATTTCCTACTCAGTATCAATGTTCATATTCACGGGTAATGACGTCACAGCTTTATGTGGTTAAACCCAAGGAGACATTTCATATGCATTCCGTCACGTGACAAACAGCTATCAGTGGGTGATATCAGGTCACGGGATACATATACTCACCGTTCACGTTCCACTGCAACGAGGAAATACGCCCCCGTCGCGTACACATATTGTACCGCTGAAAGTTTTATTTCGTGTGTTCACATTTTGGTTTTAAAGGTAGGTGCCAGATTTCGTTTCCTGTGTGATTAGGTACCACTAACAAAAATATAACTTGAAATGAGTTCTGGGTGATTTGATACACATTTTCTGAGACTCATCTTGCATTAGCTGCCTGTCCCAGTACGATTGTTTACAGGGCGTTGTGAGCGGGTAGGTTCAGTATCTGATCATGTGTGATTGTGCTCCGTATACTTGAACGGCATTGTAACACTGCCTGTCCCAGAATCGATTGTTTACAGGGCGTTGTGAGGGGGCAGGTACAGTATCTGATCATGTGTGATTGTGCTCCGTATACCTGAACGGCATTGTAACGCCGCCTGACTCGATTGTTTACAGGGCGTTGTGAGCGGGTAGGTACAGTATCTGATCATGTGTGATTGTGCTCCGTATACTTGAACGGCATTGTAACACTGCCTGTCCCAGAATCGATTGTTTACAGGGCGTAGTGAGCGGGTAGGTACAGTATCTGATCATGTGTGATTGTGCTCCGTATACTTGAACGGCATTGTAACACTGCCTGTCCCTGACTCGATTGTTTACAGGGCGTTGTGAGCGGGTAGGTACAGTATCTGATCATGTGTGATTGTGCTCCGTATACTTGAACGGCATTGTAACACTGCCTGTCCCAGAATCGATTGTTTACAGGGCGTAGTGAGCGGGTAGGTACAGTATCTGATCATGTGTGATTGTGCTCCGTATACTTGAACGGCATTGTAACACTGCCTGTCCCAGAATCGATTGTTTACAGGGCGTTGTGAGCGGGTAGGTACAGTATCTGATCATGTGTGATTGTGCTCCGTATACTTGAACGGCATTGTAACACTGCCTGTCCCAGACTCGATTGTTTACAGGGCGTTGTGAGCGGGTAGGTTCAGTATCTGATCATGTGTGATTGTGCTCCGTATACTTGAACGGCATTGTAACACTGCCTGTCCCAGAATCGATTGTTTACAGGGCGTAGTGAGCGGGTAGGTACAGTATCTGATCATGTGTGATTGTGCTCCGTATACCTGAACGGCATTGTAACACTGTCTGTCCCAGACTCGATTGTTTACAGGGCGTTGTGAGCGGGTAGGTACAGTATCTGATCATGTGTGATTGTGCTCCGTATACCTGAACGGCATTGTAACACTGCCTGTCCCAGAATCGATTGTTTACAGGGCGTTGTGAGCGGGTAGGTACAGTATCTGATCATGTGTGATTGTGCTCCGTATACCTGAACGGCATTGTAACACTGCCTGTCCCAGACTCGATTGTTTACAGGGCGTTGTGAGCGGGTAGGTACAGTATCTGATCATGTGTGATTGTGCTCCGTATACCTGAACGGCAATGTAACACTGTCTGTCCCAGACTCGATTGTTTACAGGGCGTTGTGAGCGGGTAGGTACAGTATCTGATCATGTGTGATTGTGCTCCGTATACTTGAACGGCATTGTAACACTGCCTGTCCCAGACTCGATTGTTTACAGGGCGTTGTGAGCGGGTAGGTACAGTATCTGATCATGTGTGATTGTGCTCCGTATACCTGAACGGCAATGTAACACTGCCTGTCCCAGACTCGATTGTTTACAGGGTGTTGTGAGCGGGTAGGTACACACAGATGTCCACCCATGGTACGGACTATGTAGAGGGCGTCATGAAAAATAATAAATACAAAATCCTTTGGAATATGCCCGTATACAGCCTCAGACATATCCAGGCCAACAAACCTGATCTTGTCCTTTTTGATAAATGCAATGAAATTATTTATGTCATTGAATGTTCTGTCCCTTTTTGACACTGATGTGATTGACAAGATTGAGGAAAAACATGGCAAATATGCGGACCTCGCTTTCGAAATATCACGCTTGCATCCCAAGTACCAAGTTGTCCGACTCCCCATTGTTCTCGGTGCCTTAGGTTTGGTACCGCCCAATCTGTTGACTGGCATTAGGAGAGTACCTGGGTTTGCTACCAGGAATGCAGCCCTTCCGACAATCTGGGTAATGCTGAAGGCTGCAGTGTTGGGGAGTATTTTTCATAAACATTTAACCCCATGAAACCAAGTCAAAATTCGAGCTGTGCACCTTAGAAAATAACAATACTACGCTGCATTTGTTTTGTCAACACTGCTCCCAATGGCATTACATGTACATAGCTACATGTACATCGACGGTACACGTGGAGTCTGCAGTAGGAAATATATACAAGTAATTTACATTTCAGAGACAGAGGGAAACCATGTATTAGCTTAGAAAGGGTGTGATTACAAGAAACATGTCCAAGCTCTTGGGCTTTCACACCAACAAGTCTACGTATAATACATAAAACAAGGACGGTAGGGGTCGTCTCAAAAGCAAAACCGGGATTTCAAAGGATACGAGACAACGTATAAAAGTAGTGATTACTCTGCCTTCTATAAAGTTCTCTGTTCGCATTTCTGTTGCATTTCGTGTCTTTCTCTCTCTCAGAATAAACCAAGATCTCGTTTCTGAGTAGACTTCCGGTCGTTGAACAAGATCACCATACCCACTTCAACCCCTCGATACCTGTACATGTCATTTGACTCTCTATATTATAATGAGAAAAGTCCCCGACAGAATGTTATCATAACGAGTGTTTTTTAAAAAACCCATGACATATCAATTTATGTATTACTCACTCAAACCTTATCTAAATTCACCCTGAAAAAGACAGAATTCGCATATTCACTTTCCCTCTACAGCTCGGTAACAAAGTCACTCGTATAATGAAATCATTTTCACTAAATCACTATGTAAAACGTCTATACTGTTATAGAATATGTGTCTAAGATATGTTTGTTGGTTGGTTGTTTAACGCAACACTAAGCAATATTCCAGTGATAAGACGGCGGTCGGTAAATAATCTACTCTGGACCAGACAATCCAGTGATTGACATCATGGGCATCGTTTCAGGCAATTGAGATACGATGACATGTATCATCCAAGTCAGCGAGTCTGACCACCCGATCCTGTTAGTCTTACGACAAGCATAGATTGCTGAAGACCTATTCTACCCCGGAGCTTCACGTGTTTCAAAGAACATACTTACCTATTAGATGTTTTACATGGGGGAGGAAGTGCTCACTGCTAGTATAACGACCTGCATCCGACTGATGACTAATCATCAGCTAAGTTTGGTACTGAGCAAATAATCATTTCTGGCGAGTGAGTCACACTTTTAGATTAAAGCATTTTTTGCGGGAACATAAGTCCTTGAAATTCATGCCTTATTTTCCTGTAGGTACTCAGTGTATAATATTTCCTCAGTGCGAACTTGCTACTTTAAAATTAAATGTGTAACTAAATTCTCGTTGTTCTTTATTTTTTCATAAGTGTAAGAGAGATTTTCATGATATATTGAGTCTTTATTGACACAGTTATCATGTTTTGATTATAGAAAGATGTCAAGGAATCTGAAGAAGGGAATCTTCTCTGAACTATCAACGAATGTAAAACCTAAAGGTAAGATTGAATTTATGTAAATAAAAGCGAGACAACACTTTCCACAGCCATAAGAAATAAAATCTGATAAAAGCAGAGCCCGTTGTACGATTTCGACTATAGATAAGCATTTGTCATGAATTACCATCAAATAGTGAAGAAAGCAGTTGGTCGCCAAATGGTGAGCGTATTTGTTTCAAAACACGTTGGCAATATGAGTCACATTTCTTTTCCCAACTGAATTTCTCAAGGAGGTTCAAATCTGAACTATATTTATATAATAACCCACGAGGTACGAGTGATTACGAGAAATTAATGTTTCAAATTTTTTTTCCCGTAATCACTCGTACAGACTGAGTTATTCTATTTACCATTTCCTAACCGTATTAAAGACATATGTATCAATCCGCATGAGATAAAACACTGTCCTCTTCCCTCGAACCGTATCACTCAGTTAACGTGTTGTTACGCGTGAAAGATATAGTTCTGTTAAACAAACTTTAAGGATCACATGATTACAGTAATATCTCTGTCTGATGTACACAGCGTACACTATCTAGCATTGATAAAAGAAGACAAACAAGGTTCAATGATTATTTTAATCAAGGTCGTGTCACTGATAGACATCCGCCGTCGTTCATCATTGACATGCATTTTACATTGAGAATAGGAAAATCTGTCATTTTTTTTATGTGTCATTCGGAAAATAAGTTCAAAACCTGTAGCAACAACATATACTGAATATACAGGAGTCATAAAGTACGAGTACTGTCTCAGCGTCGGAATGAATGTCGCTACTTGACCCAGACATGAGCCAGGAACGACAGCGGAACCGGCGTCACAGTTTAATCTGGACAACAAGTTGTATGAACATCATGTGTGATTTGAGACAAGTATGACAGATGGGAAACATGTGCATCCGGAATTTTAGGCGGACTTATCAAACACGCTTGTGGAGTGGACATAGCCCAGTAGATGAGAGGAGTTTGTTGATAATTCGATGTGATTCATTAATGGTCGAAAATCGTTTGATAGGCTATCACAGCATCTGGAGACTTGGTGCCAAGCTGTCCGCATTCAGGGATTTGTTTTCAATATCAGACACAGGATCAGCTCGCTGGTGAAGGTTTCCTTTTCCTTGTTTTTTGTTGTTGGATTTGTGCTTGTCACGAGCAGATGTTGGTAATCATCTCGCTAAGGTAACGCTCTGTGCCACTCTTGATCCTATTCAGAATTCTGAACCATCTGATTTGCGTGACTAAATGAAAAATTGCTAAAAATAATGTTTAGTTCCACCTTTCTTGTGTCATGAGGCTTTCCTGTATATATTTGTGGACTAAATTCATGTCCAGTTTAGTCTTTTTCATTATATTTTCATTTCCATTGGCATCTAAAGTCTTATCTATGCCATCATCGTTTACAAAGACAAGCCTCTCTGTACTAAGTACAGTTTTCGGGTTCGGGTAGTCGAAAAAATCGTCAAACAGCCAGTCCTTTAGCACAGACGGTGGCAAATCCGGCAATCTAAATCTTGGAACTTCAATGCAGTTTTAACAACACTTTAAAACATTTAATGTCTTCAGGGGTTGAATTATACAAATAATCTGGAGACTTGGTGGGTTTGTTTGTTCAATATCAGACACAGGATCAGCTCGCTGGTGTAAGTTTCCTTTTCCTTGTGTTTTAGTGATTTCTACTTTGATTTCATAACTCCCAGGGTTTAGCATCGATTTCACGAGCAGATGTTGTTAATCATATCGCTGTGATAACGCTCTAGACGGTCAGAATCTGAACCATCTGATTTGCGTGACGAAATGGAAAACTGCAAAGAATAATGTTTAGTTCAACCTTTCTTGTGTCCTGAAGCTTTCCTGTATGCGTGAACTAATTCATGTCTAGTTTTCATTGTGTTTTCATTTCCATTGGCAGCTAAACTATTATCGATGCCTACATTATTTACAAAGACAAGCCTCTCTGTACTGTAGTCGAAAAATTCGCCAAACAGCAAGTCCTCTAACACAGACGCTGGCAAATCCGACAATAAATTCTGGCAACACTCAATGTGAATCTTGGAACTTCAATGCAGTTTTAATAACACATGAAAACGTTAAATGGGTTCAGAGGTTGAATCATACGAAGAACCCTTCCTGTAAGATCCCAGTCAACTTTAAGGAGGTCATTTACTTTGCAGGTGTCAAATGGTCAGCCATGTTTGTTTGTTTGTTTGGGGTTTTATTGTGAAATGAAAATCATTTGAAATAAATGCTTTGCTGATTGCTTGAAAGGGAAATCATGTTGTCGATATGAAACTATGTCTCCTGTCTTAAAAATCTCGAATCAGTGAGATTGTAGCACGTGAAATATGTGAATGAAAGCCGGGGATTTGTTAAGTAATGCAATAAAAGGAAAATAAATTGTCCCGTTAGCCAGTGGAACTGACCAATCAGTTTCGAAAAATCGCCATTTTCGTTCAGGCCTAGAAAACTGAACTTTTGTGCCCATGGTCATGCTATAAAAGTGTTTCAAGCCGTCATGAAAGGGTTTTACGTTTGTAAGACACAGCCATGGGATCATCTCTCACATCATGGGGCCATATGGCTTGTATTATTCTGTTGGAAAATAACATTCTGTACATCAGCAAAAAGTCTTGGAAGTTGGATATTTGTTGCAGCATCATCTGTCATCATACATGTAATTATTATTATTATTATTATTATTAGACTCCGCTCTCCTTGAAGCCTGCATGGCGGGGAACCTGGCAGCTGTAAAGCGTTTTGTAACAGCAGGTAAGGCGGATCTCAACTGTAGAGACAGTTTCGGAATTACACCGGTGCAGGCGGCAGCATGGTATAGACACAAAGAAGTAGTCGAGTTTCTTGTGAGTAAAGGAGCTGATGTGTCTCTGGTGGACGGTGCCGGTAACACTATCCTCCACTATGCCTGTTGGGGAGGAGATAGAGAGATGGTGAGGTTTGTCCTCTCACAGAATTTCGCGAACATTAACGCCAAGAACAAGTCGGGAGAGACGGCAACCGACAGGGCGAGATCCTGGGGAAATGATGATGTGGTGGATATCATGGTGTCCTGTCGCGCTCAATGAAGTGAATGTAGGGTGTTGTGCAGACATTGAAGGAGGACATGTTGTTACTGACATTCACGGACTGTGTTCCTTTCACGTGGTCGTGTTTTGATATCTCAAGATTAAAATGAAAATGTGTGTTGTGTTTGAAAGAAATAAACCTTTTTAAAAAACATTTTGAGTCGCTTTGTCCTTTGTTTATTTGGAACTTTGCATAATCAGGTAGACTCGCCATTGTTAATGACAATTTGAATGGCGTACCGAGACGACATCTTTAGAGACCATGTTCTACCCTTTGTGCAAATGCAGCGCTGTAACGTCACGCTGCAGCAAGAATAATGCCCGCCCACACGTTATACGTGTAGTAACAAGTCTTTTGAAGCGGCATAACATTGTGGTCGGCTATTTCTCCAGACCTCTCCCCCATGGAACATGTTTGGGATGAGATAAACAGGACAGAACTAGCCGGGAACGCTAGCTCAGTTGGGCCAATCTTTATTTGACATTTGGCACAAAATCTCCCAGGCTGTTTTCAATCATCCTGACGTCTTCAGTGCACCGCCGCTGCCTCGCCTGTATCAACGCAAATGGTGCTCCACCTGACGTTGACATTGTTAATAAAGCTGTCCTTGTTTTAGGGCAAGTGTCTCTGTCTCCTGTTATCAGGTATGGGTTTTGTCAATAAATTTATCTTACAGAAAACTGTGATCAGACGAGTGGCCAAATGTTTGTTATATTTGCAATAACATAACATTTACAACATTTTATATGAAGCACAGATACTACAGTAAATATCACCAAGGAAGTTTGGATTCAATTATCCGAATTTCCATAAAAACAAAATAGAAACCGTTTCCATGTTTGTATAATTCGAACAAGCACGGCCGGTGTCACGAAATATATTCGCCCCCAGAATAAAATCTCTCCCCGGCGACTTTATACCGGTACAGTTCCGCCCCTCTCGAAATAAACTCTCCCCCACCCTACGAAATAAAATCTCCCCCACTGATGTCACTGATCGTCGTATTTAAAGCAGACACGTTGGTTAAAGTAGACCTCTTCTCCCTGTACTCTCAACAGTCACACAGGTGTTCGGTCCGACATGGCCCGGGCTGTCAAAATCAACTTTAAACTCACATATGTATCATCAAATGGATTCACATCTATAAACTAGTATGATATCTACCTAAATACCACTTTATAGTGTCTCAGATCGCTGTACTTAAAGAAAACAAGGGGCTCAAAGTGAAGCCCTTTTCCCACTACATTCTCAACATAGTCTCTTTTTAGAAGTGTTTTTCTTGTGTTGGATCCGATTTGGCCCGGACTGTCAAAATCAACTTAAACCTCACAGTTGTATCATCAAATGGAGTCATATGTTTAGATTAGTGTTATATCTACCTAAATACCACTTTATTATGTTACGGTACATCGTATTTAAAGAAAACAAGGGGCTCAAAGTGAAGCATTTTTACTGTATTTTCTTAAGAAATTCTATGTCAGAAGTGTTCGCGTATTTTTGTGCTTAAGTCACTTGGACATTGTTTAGCTTCATGAACTCTTCATAAGAAACATGTCAGACAGCTTTGACATCATTGATGACTTAGTCTTATGAGATGTGTAAACCTTAGGGGAAATGAGCTCAAGTAAATACAGAAACAGAGGGTCTAAAATTGCCACAGTGTTAGGCCCGAAAGTCTATTTAGGATTTAAATTGTGATTAAGGAAGTAGAGGGTAGAGAGAGAACAAGATAACAAATCTTAACAAAACCTACCTGCCAAACAAGTGCTTGTTCGTTCGTATCCGTAATCCGTCACAAACTGTGATGAACGCATAGTGTGTTCGATGAAGGAAATACAGCCCTTCAGATCTTTGTTTACTGAATACACCTTGACCTATGTTCAGTGATATAATTTATAAGATATTGAAGCTACATGGCCGCCCATAGTTTCTTGGAAATGTCCTGGCTACACTTCAAGGTTTCGTGCTCAACAAATATATATGAATGTATATGATTTCTCATCTTGATGTACTTGAATAATGCAATTCGACAAAGAAGATGTACAGATGCCTCGACAGCATTTTTGGCAGTCAAGTACAAGTACAGGTAAACATGGCTATTAATGCTCATGTGTGTCAGGTTGCACAAAACATCTAAGTTTGGATCACAAAAAAGAATACTATTTAGAGTTTTTTGTCCTCCAAGATTATCGATAGCTGTCAGTAATGTCTCCCTAATATCATCATATAAGGTACATTGGAAGAAGAAATGGAATGAATTTTCACAAGGAGCTCCGCATTTACAGGAAATAGTATCAGATAATTAACACGAAACAGGTTGGAATTTAGTGTGCTACAATTGTGTCTCAATCTAGTGTGCAATATGTTTGTAGATCTCTCACCGCAATTATAGTGCATAGGTGGTGATGTAGGCTGCTCAGATGCGACAGCTTTAAAATAAGATATTGACGGACTATCCCTGATTCCTGATGATAGATTATTCCATTGGCCTAATGTATCTATAATATAAGACCTTTTAAACGTAGATGTCCGTGCAAATGGAACTACAAATTAAAATCATGGCGGTTTCTGAGATTATAACTGACCTTTTGTGACACAGCTGGTGGTATAAGATCAGTTACATATGAAGGACATGGCTTATTTATTATTTTATACATAGTTACAAGTTTGTTGACGTTTCTTCTATACGCTTAGATATATGTATCCACGTCACACACACCTAGAACAAGTACACTTATTTGAATATTACTAATATTACATGAATGTTACTGAGCAGTCAGTTAGAGTTTATATCTGTGCGCTTAATCAGCAACATTAAGCCTTTCACGTATATTACAACTTTGTAAGTTAACTTTCCTTTCCAGAAATACCATAGCATGGTGACAGAGATGAACTTCTACCCCAAGAGATGTGTCATTGACTAAAATCTGCTTTGTTAATTTGATTTCAAGTGATAGCCTTCACCTGGAAGGAATTTATATTTGTATTATTTCAATTTTTCTTTTAATATATATCCCTCTGAATTTGGGGTTTTGAAATAGCATGTCGCAGAAATAATTCCTGTTGGACCCTTAGACTTGCAAGAATACTCTAATCATTGGCCGAAACATGCCCCATTTGTGCTTCTTGCTTTGTCAGACCAAACCCATACTGTTTAATTTCTCAAAATCTTTAAAAGGGTTAAAGCTATTTTTGGAAGTATAAATGGGTTGATTGGTGACTACCACAGAAGTAGCAAATGGAGTTATGTCCGATGAAATTCTCTGTTTTGACTTGTGCTAATCGGGTTTAACAACTAACTTGCCTTTGCGTGTGTTTGTTCCACCGGTGGTGCAGGATACGCTCACCTCTATGCAAACACCTGTTATCCTCACTGTTTGATAGTAGTTTATACACGTTAGTATGTATTAGTTGTATGTCATCTTAATATATCACTTGTGTTATCCCTCTTTTTGGGGTGTACTACCAACATAAATCAAAGTTTCTTTTGAGCTATCATGAATATCATAAAATACTTAGCAAGTCTATGCTTACCATTCCCTCTACTCCTACCAAAGGCTCTAATTGTGGCTCATTGTTACATATTCTTCACGAATACTGTAACTCATGAAACGTGTAACCAAATTAATGCGAGTTTAGACCGCTGGCTAGACTAACATCTAGTTTCTGAAATGAACATGTTTTACAAAAATAAAAACAATTGTTTGATTATATTGATAAAATATATAACTGCAGTCATCTAGTCTTGCCAAATATGATTGACTTGCATCGGCTGTATTGGATATATTTGTTTCAGGAACTGTATGACAGGCCTAAAATGCGTCACGAAAGTAATGCGATTAACTTTGCTTTTGACCTGTAAAAGCTAACCAGCAAACGAAAACACGGCGTTGTTTACAATGAACGCATGTCTGAACAAACATCCTTTTTTATATACTTAAGTAGAAGTATCACGATGGACAGTGCATACAACTGTTTGGCAAACAATATCAAGCAATATTTTAGATTCAGAATCAACATACCATAACAGAACCATATATATTAAATTGTATATATTCATATTTGCCGCTATTCACGACAAATTTATTTTACCGTCACTTCTTAAAACTACTCTGAACTACTTGTATGTATAGATCATCTTATTTGTAAACAGAAGGCGGACGTATTATATATCCAACAGTTACAAAAGTCTGCTGAAGTCTTCTATTTCTTTATTATGTAAAATGCTGTCAACATGAATAAATGCCAATTATTTCATAACACTCCTAATATAGTTGTCATAATGAACATATATAGTTTTAAAGTATATTTGTCACATGCAATAATACTGTCCGGTATTATTAGTAATATTTTCAATATCAACCACATATTGTGAGAATCCAGTAAAAAGGAACTGAGTAAAGCAGTGGTAAAATCTATCCATATATACAAAATTTTATTTTTGGATATACCATATATACAAAATTGTATATTTTTGGATATACCATATATAAAAATTGTATATTTTGTATATATTGTAATTTTCACTTGTGATACTTTCACTGACCACTGACAAAGATTAGCAGTATTAGAATAAGAAGCTAAATTAAATCCAGTATGACGTGATGATGTGTAAGCATACAGAAAACTGAGAGAGCCCAACTTACTTCAGTTTCTGTACCGTACTTGCGCTTAACTCCTTTTGCATCATGCGTATCATTCATCCTGTCGGATCGACTTGTCCCGGGTGGTTAATAATCTTAAACATCACGACTGTAAAACAAAGTTGCTTACTTACTTACTTACTTTGGCGATTTAACGTGCGCTTTCCGACTGATGCGTACTTCGCACACTTCGAACTTTAATTTATGGCGTCTTTTAACCATCACGACAATAATACTGAGTGGTCTCATCAAAGTAAAGACACAGTCAAGACACTGACTTTTCGGTATGAACTCTCGGTATGTAGCTATAATTATCAGTTTATTACATTGCTGAAGATACATTTTGATTCAAACTCAATTAAATGAGCAAAACTATCCGTTTCTGGACATTTGAGATCTGCCTAGATATGCACGTTTCGTTTTATTATTCTGCAATCCATTTTTAGTATTACCCGCTGGCCCGGCCCGGCCCGACTTTTCTTGGCCCGACTTTTAGGCAATCCCCTGAATTAGATAGTTATGATACTGCATGTTTAACAGACACCTGGTTGCAACATGCTATTCTAGCCATTGATATTACACTGATATCAATTTCAAGTCGTAGCCTGTATTAAGGAATATATTTTAGATCTTAAATCAGAGTATAACGGACAGCCTGAGCTGGAGGCGCGCGTGGATATGTTGACAGTTTTTACGTAGTTGGTGTTAAAACCGAATGTTTGCGAGGATTAATAAGATTTCTGAATTCAGTTACAACAGTAACCGTACATGTATTTGTTACATTAAGTAATTTCATTCAAATTTGTTTGGTATGATTATGTCTTATAATTATTTTAGGATGGAAGGTACAGTTTCCAAATAAAATATGCTGAGATATCAATTCATTATGACCATATTTCATAATCTATTTTTTAAAGTAACCCTCCTTACATTAAAGATAACTATTTAAAGAATATAGTACTTAAAGACATTGCAACAAACCAAATAATCAGGGGGCAGACTTTTAATCGGGGGGCGCGAAATATATCCACCCGGGGGAGATTTTATTTCAGTACAGATTCTCCGGGGGCTGCGGCTGCGTGACAAATACATTCTCCAATTTGTGAAATCAGTCCACATTGTTCTGTCAGACAAACATTAGTTATCTGTGCATCGAACGGTCAAGTACTTCCTGTGTGTTTTCGGCCGAAAACTGTATTACAAATTACCACAAAGTTTACGCTGTGAACAATATTTCAATTTTATCCCCTGACGTTCTCTCAAAATGGGAGGGAAACCCAAAGTGACGCCGATCGTGGAAGTTCATTCCACTGGTTAATATGTGTGATAAATATTCCATTGCATTTGATTGCCTAAGACAAAAATCCAGATTGGCTGATTAATAAGGTCGGCGGTGCTTGTGTTGCAGTATTGCGCCGACTGATGTCACTGATTTCGTCTGTGAAGTTAATTTTGGTGACATATATTTTTCAGAATTGACTTCAATATTACTTTGCGTTTATGGTCGTATAAATAGATAAACCGATGTGCTTACTGCAGATTTACAGTGATTGATACCAAGAGCATCGATACACGCAATTGGGATACGGTGACATGCATCAAAATAGTATCTGAGAAAGGTTTGAGGAATAAGTAGATATGCGCGGAGTATAGCTATGTATTATACTAAACAAGTTATACAGTGTCAAACTTTGTGATAAATCTGACAATTCTTCTTTCATTATGGTAACCGCAAAGCATAACAACCCTCTACATTCGTTTCAAGATGGGAGCCCTTTACGCCAAAGTTAAACATATATAGCAAATACTTTAGAAAGCTTGCGGTAAGTAGAATACATATATAGGCGGGGAGATACTGTAACTTCTGTCTATTCTATTTTTGAAAATTAAAAAGAACCTAGTCCGTCTTTGCTATCATAGTTTGCACGCTCCGTTGAACAGAAGGCTGGATGATATACAAGCCCCGTCTTTGTCCAAACACTGTAGGCCTGAGTTCTTTATTGTCAGTACACAGCAACAGCTGTCAACAACAAATAAGCCACCAACAAGGCTCAGTAATAACACCTGAGTAGCATTTGTTTTGCAGAATCGCTTGGGAGTGTTTGTGACTTGAATATGGCGACACACGGGTATGTTAACATCGAATCAATTATTATCGGTCCTATTTGTTACCTGGCGTAAGGCGTTAGAGTTTCCATTATCTGTGACAGTTGTGACTTGCATATTGGGTATGCTTATCGTATCTTAAGTGTATGCTTTGACATTTATTTTTAAAAATGCAATGTTATTGTACTGTGAAATTCAGTGACGTGAGTTATTTCATTACAGAAGTGGAGAAAAGATGGTGGGAAGTTCCTTATCTGAGGGTAAGTGGCCTCATGACAGATGACAATATATTGTGTGACTGCTCCGTATATGCAGAGGAGTAAAAGCGACAAAACCTTTTCACAATTTAAAAGAAATATCAAAAACTCGACAGGACGATTCCGACTACATCATGAGCATGTTTTTATGATTCACTATACAATAGAGATGACACCAGATGTTTTACATAGATGAAGTCGAGATTTTCACATATTGATTCCTCCGTATTTTTCAGATGGCATTTTCTTTTGTGTTTAACAAATTGTCCAGAACCTCTGAGGATAGACATGGATATTTTTATAGTGACCTCGTTCAGTAACAAATACCCCATGGATCGAGGAATGCTTTTTTTCCTTTGTTAAATCGATGTTTTTTCGATTCTGAGATTGCAAAACATCAAACAAGTCCTTTGTGTTTTTTGCGAATCCACATTGTGTTAATTTCACTTGTCTCAAATACTTTACCTGAATATAGAGAATAGAAAGCAAACAACCTAAATATATTGATGTTTCCTTAAATCTTTGTGTCTGTCTTGGATTAGACACTGTCATTGTTGCATCAAAATAAATTCCAGTAACATTATGATTACGTATACGTTACATAATGCGAGCAAGCCATTGACTACTTGGCCACGGCTTGAACTAGGAGACAAACGGATATGCAGATACAAGAGATATTAGTAAAATGACATTGGCAAAGCAACTACTCTTATTTGTAGTCTCTTCAACACCAAGGTGTCCCTAAATTATTACGTCGGAGGGTCGGGGAGATTAGGATGTATGTAAAATAGTACATATGTAGGTTATATATTAGCAGTTTGTTTAGAGTTTACTTTGGGGAAAAGTAGGTATAGAAATAAGAAGATGTAGTCTCAAAGGGAATAATGTTAGAAAAGAGTTCGTAGAGGATCGCAATATACAGACATTGGTTACCAACTGTGTATTCGTTGCTTTTGATATACACTTCAGCTGGAAATATAAGCATTGGTGTTGTGTTCAGTGTCCATGGGAGTTCGCTGGTTTGTTCACATTTGCTTTAGAGTTTGGCAAACGTGTGTTTTCTGTCGTCGCGATAAGGGAGAGCACTCACACCAAAACACTTCGTGTACCGCTAAAGTACCTATCTCTGACAGTTATATGTTTTAGGTGCTTTCTTCCGTGTTTTTGTAAAGTTTGTCAATTTTATGTTTTGTTAAACTACAAGCTACTATTTTGGTGATGTACATAAAGTATGCTTCTACAAATCTTTGGTCATAAATCGTTTCACATCTGTTTCCAAACCCGCTGTGCCATCTTTATAAAACACAATGCAAAGGGCTGCGAATCATAGTGTTGGATTTAAACTGAGCACACTCCAAGGAGAATTGCTCTCTCCTTTTGGCAGGCGCCAGTCGCGCCTATTTCAGATAATGAATATAATAACAGCTATCAAGCTGAATAATGTTTAACATTTACTTTGGCAATATGCTGATGATTATATATCAAAATTGATAAGAATTGAAGTCACAGAGATAGGCTCATTGACAGGATGCAACTTCTAACTTAAAGAATCTGTAGGTAACCAACAGTGAAAAAAATCGAAATCATAATTCGAATATTAGAGAAATAGAGGACAAAAAAATATTGATAGGTAAAAGAACTGTTGTCTAAATTTTGACCTTGTAAACTTTACATACATACACTTTCTCCGCTCTCAAACGGTGTTTGAAACTCAGCAGAGTACACCGAGGGCTCTAAGGGCCAGCACATTTAAAAAATAGTTTTAGCTGATAAAGGGAGACATACTCTTCCAAAATAAATTTCAACACACAATCAGTCAGCCAGAAGTTTTTACTGCTATCACACTGATTTCCCAGAGAAGCCTACATTTATCAAAGAAGTTATCAGCTTGTAATACATCTTAACTATTAAAGTTATGTTTATCACATTATTTAAATAATGCGTTTATAACTTAATTAAGTTCGTTTTTAATACAAAAATATCCTTACACATTCATAACGTCCAGAAGAAACACCAAGGAATGGCTTTTTTCTTGCATTTATTTTGGCGTTATACGTTGTGTCCGATCCTTCACATGGAGGCGACAAATGCCGAGATGTGATTTGACTCACATTACACGGTCGCATGAAAAGATGGAAATAGTTACTTAGATATAAGTTTGATAATTTTTCGAAATATGTTTGTTGATCTTATTTATTACTTTATTAAATATATTTACGATTTGCTTGACACGTGTTCATATTGCTCTGTGACATGTTCGTTATGGACTCGTTGTCAAAGCATGTGTCCTAGATGCTTTATATTATTTTTTTTCAATAACATTGAGTGAAATTGGTCATTGTTTTAAATATATTGATAAATATGACAAATTAAAATGAAAGACGTACTTTCTGACTTTGTGAAAAGTGATAGATTTAATAAATGAATGATATGACGGGTACGTTCATGAAACTATATAGTACTTTGACGTGGCTACAGTGTGGCCGGTACACCAGCTTGCGTTGTTGAAATAACTAACGAGCGGAGTACTTTGAAGCTTGACCCTTTTCACCAAGCAATGTTATGATTCATGCTCACAGCTTAAAATAAACTGCAGGCCATAAGGGCCTGATGAATTTTAAACTATCAGCCCCAAAACAAATCTATTAGCCTCGGGCCTACGAGCCGATGTCTGTTTCGAGCACTGCTCTCAAACCCCCAAAGCTACTGAATTAAGGAAACTATTTTACAGGTTTCTTTCTGGAATGATAAAACGGATTAATATAACGGACAACATAAGAATATAGGATGAAAGTTGAGTGATAATGATAGAGGTATGATTTTTTTATAAATTCTCTAAAATTGTCAGTTCAGGAAAGGATAAAACATAAACAAAATATCCCTAGCACATTTCCGCTGAAAAACATGTTCCTCCTTGTAGCCACTATTGTTAACTATTTACACTTAACTAACACCCACTGGAATGATGTATTGAATGGATTGGGAACATATACATAGAAGAAATACAATACATGTTACAAAAATTGGAGAGGTACTATCATAACCTCTGTGGTGTAACCAGCAGTTAATAAGCCAGATTATTGTAATCAGTATATAAAAGGAATATACAATATCAAGAACTCTGCCCAGAAGACAAAACCAAATAGCATTCTTGTCGGGTGTATTCGATAGCGAACCCTTCAAATAAATGTAAAAGGCTGTAAGAAACACAAAAAATATGTTGTTTTATCAAAGATGTACAAGAAAAAGTCAAATTACTCGACTTCAGATAATCATTTAGTCATTAGCTATCCTCATTCTGTGCGAATCACGTCAAATTGGTATGCATAATTATGCGTATGTTTGAAGTATTAAGCAAAACACAAAATATGTTCATTCCATAACCTTTATCAATATATTTGCCGATATATCTAAGATATGTTGAACAGTTCCCACTGCTGTATTTGAAGTATGTAGTTTCGCATTCACATTGGGAAGACTCTTACATGTTTGATAAACATAGTCTGTTATTTTCACTACCTGTTGACTTGATAATGACATGAACACTTGTGTCCTGACCTTCTTCCTATTTGGTGTGTATGTATGTAATCTACACACACACACACACACACACACACACACACACACACACACACACACACACACACACACACACACACACACACACACACACACACACACACACACACACACACACATCACATTATTTGTGACTTTATGAGAAAATATTTAACATCATTTATTGAATTGAATTAAATAAATTACATTGTTTAGTTTTAGTTTTTTACTACTCAACATTTGAGATTGACCAAAGATAATTCAGATGTACGCAGCCTTAATAAAACATCAATATATTCTTGTTCTGAATTTAATTATAAATTATTATTTCATGCTTATATCTAAGCAGATATTTGTTGTGTGTTGTGTTAGGCCCCGAATAAAAGTTCTACTACACACCATAACCTAGTATTGTTCATACGCGAATAATGACTATTGTTGTAAGTATTGCCGTATTTCACTTAACACTGCTTAACATAAGGAGGCGTGGTTGGATGGGCATTCAATAAATGGGGGCTTGTATTTTAGATTTATGCCATGACATAGTTATCTGACTAAATTTGCGTTTTTCGGACGACATACGATATTAAAGAATGTATTTCATTGTTTGCAGGCAGTTGGCATTAGTGTGTGTAAATCTACAAGTCCAGCCGTGGATATTTCCATTTTATTTATTTTCATTTCGCTCTTTTGGTCTTTGGAGCTTCCATCGCTCATTTCATTAAAGTACATTTAGATTATTTGATTCAGCTTTTACTGAAATATCGGGACAGTGCAACGTCAATTTCGAACCTTGCCCGGTAACTCTTGTAGCAGATGTGAATGAATTTAAGAGGACACAACAGCTTGTAAACGGATATTGCAGCTAGCCTAAATGTTGGTGCGTTTTTTAGCTCTTCATCTTCCAAACTGTAGAAAGTCATGTTTAGCAATAGGGGTTTACACCTTAATAGTTCCACTGAAGAAGACACTGTCCATTTGATGAAAGCAAATTGCATCTTGGTGTATCAAATATTTTGCATCATCACTGTAAGATGTAAATACAGTAACTGTGCGATAAAGATGTCCGGCATGTGTATAAAGTTAACTTTATGTTACAGTGACAACGAAACCAAAATATAGTGATCCCTGGTGGATGTGAAGCGGATCCTGGCAGCAGGTCGAGTTAATGTTAACTGTAAAAATGCACTGAAGTGGACACCGGTGATGTTGGGAGCACGGCGGGGACATAGAGAAGTGGTAGAGTTCCTTATAAGTAAAGGAGCTGATGTGTCGCTGGTGGACGTTCACGGAAACAACTTCCTTCACTGGGCTTGTTGCGGAGGAGACGTTGAGATGGTGAAGTTTATCCTTTCACAGAAGATGGCGGATATCAATAGCAGAGGAGTGTCGAACATGACACCGGTGATGTGGGCAGCATACAGGGGACACAGTGAAGTTGTAGAGTTTCTTATGTGTGAAGGAGCTGATGTGTCACTTGTGGACGTTAACGGTAACAACATCCTTCACTGGGCCTGTGAGGGAGGGGATGCGCAGATTGTGAAGTTTGTGCTGTCACTGGACAAGATGGACATAGATGCCAGGAATGAGAAGGGCCAGACAGCGGCCGATTTTGCTAGACTCTGGGGACATCATAAGGTGGTGGACGTCCTGGTATCCCGTTGCGCTCAGTGAAGTAAGTTCTGTGTATGAGTAGGCACTGAGCTGAAAGGGCACATGGCAACAGACATTGACGTTGTGGGTGCTGTTTCATATTTCAGAGTGAAGGCGACAATATATATCTCTTTCTCGCTCTATCGCTTTCTCGCTCTATCGCTTTCTCGCTCTATCACTTTCTCGCTTTCTCCAGGTTAAGCATTATCCGCTCTTGACCTCTATAGGGGCCGCATATGGTATTTGCTCCAATTGGGAGGGAATGTTGAACGTTTCTCACTGTTTACTTAAACATAATTTAACTGTACATATGCAGTTAATTTTAAAACAATCCACAGATTTTTGCGTAAAATGTAATTGATTGATTTATGACCCTATTCAGTTGTATGAATGTGGCAGATCATGGCAATACGCTCTAAATAAATCTGGTTAAAATCTAAATATATACTTTTCAAAAGAAGTTAAGAAGACTATGGTTCATTAGGCATGGCTGATTATTTGCAAAAATACAATCTTATAATTTTGGGTGTTCTATAACTTGTTTTCGGTAGTATACGATGTTACAGTGTGTCATACTGTTGTCCATAAATATTCGTTTTGACATTTGATGTATGTTTAACTTGAATTGTGTTTCATGTCTTGTGCAAATCTACAATTATATGAACTTGCATATAGTAATTTGATAAACACCGCTGTGAGTGAGTGAGTGAGAATGGTTTCACGTCGCTTTTAACAATCATCCAGTAATATCACGGGGGACACCAGAAATGGGCTTCACACATTGTACCCATGTGGGGAATCGTAATGGGTCTTCGGCTTGATGAGCGAACGCTTTAACCACAAGGCTACCCCACTGCCCCCATCGCTGTGGCGTTACGGCAGTTGATATGTGTACTTTTGTAACCTACACGTATGGAGAGACATAATAATTAGTGTGGCCACATAGCTAAAGGTGATAACAATATGAAATGCATTATTATGATTATCTATAGCCTATATTAAGTCGGCTATCATTGAAATATTTTATGTATATCTTAAGTATAGTTTTGTCAAAATTAGGTATGTATGTGTGTGTGTGTTTGTGTGTGTGTCCGACTCATTGTCTGTGTAAACATGTAGTAGATAACTAAATAACTCACATCAGAACGCACAGTTGTTAACCATACTGTTTAAATGGATAGAAAATTGTTACATAAATATGTATATTCCTGCCTGAGCCTATTCTATAATCTGATATCTAGTCTCTCCTGGCGGGAAAGTTAAACTTTATTTTACAGGCACTTTAGCATTAAATTTAATTCCCTAAGATAGTTTGATCGAAAGTAATTATAAGAAACGAGGTGTTCTAAAAAAATATTTACAATGCATTTAATTTCAATTGTCCAAGGAATGGGGTTACGGCTTAATGACGCCCTCGAAAGTCGTACACGTGACTTAAGGTAGTGACATATATCTAATACATCTGTATTTTGTGAGGGAAACATAACTGTGTACATGTATAACTTTTGTTTGCATAATGTACATGCAACTTAATAAACATAATTGTGATCCCGAAGTCGGACGAGCACATATTCGGGTTCAATTCCAAATCTAATGATCGAAAAAAATTTTTTTTAGACGTTGCAAACAGTACAAACAGTAGCTGATAAAACTGACAATTATTTGGCAATATATGATCTCTTTTTTTATCAGCTTTAAGATTGATGGAGGAATATGGGGTGGAATCTTGCGTATTTACTACACTACAAGAAAATATACAAGCTAAACGCGAAATAATTAAGTGCATTTGTAACATATTTATCTTCTTCAAGTTGTTTAAAAAATCTTATCATAAGAGGCAAAATAGTGGTGAGAATTACAGAAATGGATCACTAAATATCAGCAAAAAACGTTTTACTGTACGGCATTATGGGAAATATTGCTTTCTCGCTCTATCGCTTTCTTGCTTTATCGCTTTCTCGCTCTATCACTTTCTCTCTCTATCGCTTCATTGCTTTCTCGCTCTATTGCTTTCTCGCTCTATTGCTTTTTCGCTCTATCGCTTTCTCGCTCTAATGCTTTCTGCAAAAAATGAGAGTAGACTAAATTAATTATACTTTGCATTTATGTCTCAGAAATGACTGTTGATAAGACGGCCTCACTGCACACTTTGAAAAGCGGAAATCCCAGCTTTAATATAAAACCAATTAACTATCTGTTTCCACATTACGGTTACTGAGAACAATATGTCATCCCAAAACTAGAAATAACATTTGGACATCCGGTAGTATTACCATTGCTTGGGTGAGGACTTCCACTATGATGACTTCTACTCCGCAAACACATTAAACATTGATATAAACGTGGTTTTTAGGGGGAAACTATTGTTTTTTTAGCTAATGAGCGGTGTTATTTGCTATTTGTTTAGATGACTTGGCCTGGGGGCGGGAGATCCAATACAACTCCTAAATAGGGCCATAAACCAATCAAATTCTTTTTTACGCAGAAATACGTGGATTGTTATATACGCACCCATATCTGTACTGTTAAATTATGTCTAAGTAGATAGTGAGAAAATTTCAACGTTCTATCCATATGTATAATTTGTAATGTGACAGGAAAAATCTCAGCTCTCTTTTATGATTAAAACCCCTCCCACCACTGAGGTCAGGTTTAACAATTCGTTAATGTTGTTTTACGTATATATACTTTCTATCGTAAAGAAACCCGTAAAGTAGCCAAGGAAATATTGCTATACTGCGAGAAAGCGATAGAGCGATAGAGCGAGAAAGCGATAAAGCGATGAAGCGATAAAGCAAGAAAGCGATAGAGTGAGAGAGCGAGAAAGCGATGTCCCCTCTCGGCCACCATAACAATATGTCTTGTGTTTGGAGAGAAATAACACTTGTTAAATTGGCTGACATTTTGTCATTTGCTGTGTTAAGTGAGTAAAAATATAGATGATGGATGATTGACATATAAATCTAAGTTTACAATAAATTGTAAAAAAAAGAAACAACAGGATGTTTGCTTATATCCTGGTGTGACATAATACTGAGACGTGGTTTGCCAAACTGATGTGGCACAAAATAACAATGACAAGAACGCCACACTGCTGGTTTATGTCAAGGAAGTATGCCATTTAAAAGCAGAGTTGCTGCCTGTCACCTCTGCCAAAAATAACATCAACTTGTTCTCACAAATGAAACAATTACAAACAAATCCAGTGAGGATTGTCCATTCATGACATTAGGAAATTGTAAGTGACCTTTCAAACATGGCTTTCATAGTCTAGGCATCTTATTAGAAACTTTCAGGCAAAAAACCCTTTGTGTCTTTCGTTTGTGTCTTCTCTGAGAAAACGGGACCTCATTGCAGACACTATTCACAAAGTAAAACAAGGAAACGTTATTGAAAAATCCCAAACTATGAAACTGCACCAGTTCTTCAATACACTATCTATACGCCAAGTTTAGTGGAAAAATATTTACGGATTTCAAGATCTGCTCCGGAAACAAGCACTTCCGCCATTTTCAGTACAAGTCCAAGATGTTGCCATGAAAACTCGAAAAATACTTTTTTTAAAAATAACACAAACTATCAAAAGGCACCAGTTCACCACTAAACCAATGTATGTGCATGGTTTGATGAAGAAATACTGTACGGTTTTCAAGATCTGTTCCTGAAACGAGCATTTTCGCCATTTTCAGTCTAAGACAAAGTCGATGCCATGGAAACTCGAAATATACATTGCTAAAAAAATCCCAAACTATCAAAGGCACCAGTTAAGCACTAGACCTATATTTGGTTAAGATGTCTCTCATGGGTTTTGTGTTTTGCTCTGGAAACGAAACGTGACGGACGGAAAGACGGAAGGACAGCCACCAATTCCTATATCTCTCTTCCACTTCGTGGCGGGGGATAATAAACTTAATTTGTAAGCTATATATATACACGATTTCACACTTATGTTCTCTTATGCAGGGTGAAAATAGAACACATGCTTAGGTGAGCATAGGACACCAAACAAACTACCGATACGACGATGGATTACGGCGATGTTGCTGTTGGAAATTTCACTTCTATTTTCAAAGATGGATTTGGTGATAACAAGCTCAACTCATCACTTGTGCAAATCGCAGAATGAGGTGATTTTGAAAACAGATAACACCAAAAGCAGAGAAAAACATATTTAGTCGAAATAGGTTAAATTTAAAGATTGTCTGCTTTCTTAATTGTGGACCTACATCAACATCGAACACTGAAGAAAAGCCTTCAGTCCACATGAACATTGACATTTTGGGTAATAATTCAAACAAAACCATATATTTAGGAGAAAAGTTAGCGGTGTTTTAAGATAATTATATCAGCTGTAAAGTTAATTTAAAAACTACCGATTTAGGCCCTACATGATATTATCTATAGACCTAATCATATCGATAACAAATCAACAAGTCAATAAGAATAGGCACATCCAGGCCTAGAAAAGTCAATAAAATTGAATGACTAAACCACGTAGCTCAAAAGGAATAGCTCTCTATATAACTATTTATCTGCCAAATGAACGACCAGGCCCAAATACGTAATAATTCCTTCCCATTCAGAATGGCTGAGCCAAAATGGTAAATACACTGACTTTGAAGCACTTCCAGTTGAAGAACTGAATGCACGTCTACATCACTTTTTTTCAAAAACATCATTCTTTGGTCTGAGAGGGGCAATACATCGTCATATTCACGCTCCAACGTTATGAACGGAATATTAACATGATATCACAACTGGAAATTTAAAAAGATGCATCCGAAGCACGCTATAGATTAGCTATAGATTAGCACGAATAGATTAAGTCTTGCCGTGCCATAGTCCACCAGTAATCAAAGCTAGACCACCTTTTTTTTATGTGTATTTATCGTTGGTCATTAAGACAGTCCACTTAGAGATTTAAGTATTTTCAACCACAAAAGTTCCTGTGACACCAATATTTCAGTGTATTTTTCAAACAAGTAAAGTTTGGTTTTCCATATTGTAGTACATGTAAAGAATCTAGTCACAAAAAAGCAACTGCTACAGAAAAGCATGCATTCAATGCAAAAGTTGACTTTTATGCTAGCCCAATGGATTTCACTACCCTAGAATGGATATAAAAACGTGCGTTAACGGGATTCCATATGGATTGTTTAGCATCGTGCTGTCAACAACCACTCAGAAAAAACAACAAAATTACGAAATTATTAAACATTACGAAATGCCACGCCTGTCCGAAAATGAGCGTCTGCGAGCCATTAGTATGCTTGAAGCAGGATCGAGTCAACGTGATGTTGCTAGACAACTGAACGTCCACAGAAACACAATTTGGTTTGACAACGTTGGCAACAGACGAATGCAGTCAGAGACCATCCTCGGAGTGGCAGGCCAATCAATAATCAATAATCGACAAGACAACTGGATTCGAACAACACACCTACGAAATCGATTCCAGCCAGCAACAGTGACTTGTGAGTGCAACAGTGAGTGTGTTGTAACACCATGCATTTTTGCAAGGACGGTGGTCCAGTGTGGTCCTTGCGTCTATCTTTAAGAGGTGTCAACACATTAATTCCTTGGACTACATGTACCCTTGCATTATAGTTACTTGTAGGAACAACTAGAAGGGAACCTAGCAAACTATCCTCCTCTTAGGGAGTAAAAATATATACCTGTATAAGTACGGAGGCATAGATCCATTGAAACATTAAGTGTGTAATACATCTTCAATGGGAATGTGATACAAGTTGTTTTCCTGGTACAAATTCT